TGGTCTGTCAGTTCATAAAGTATCCCAGAGGTCATATTTGCACAGCAGCATTTCCAGTTTGAACTTCTCCAACTGATAATTGCACTGCTTGCCATCAGGCATGGCCCTCCTTTATCTTACTGACTCACAGTTAGAGATTTCTTGCAATTTATTCTGGGGGCTGGGCCCATAACCTGTTGACAGAGTTCAGGAAAAATCCAATCCATGCTTTGGAGTTTGCTTTCTGTTAATCCTATGCAACAGGATTATGCAAAGAAAGTAACTGAGTGCATTAAGGCAACAGAGAGGCCTTCAGAGCACAAGCACTAACACATACTAACATATAGCAGAAAGAGAAACCAACAAGGGGTAGGCTGAACTAAAAGAGAAAAAGAAATCCATAAACCCTAAAACTAGAGAATGTTCCACAGCTACCCCTAGGGTACAAGTGGACTAAACTACTCTATCAGCAGTATTTACAGTAAATAGATTCTTAGCAGGCTGTCGCTTCTCCAACATTACCATGTTCTAATTTAGAAACATTTTTTTCTAAAAACAATTTTCTGACATCTTCACCTGAAAGAAGAATGCTATGCAACTTGAAAGCTCACTAAAATGATAATAATGATCAATATTACCTTTCTAATCTTGGGAGTGGTGTGCTCTTAAAACCTGAATTTTTAAAGTTTCTCTACAAAGGTGGGGAGGACAAAAGCTGATAGCATGTAGAGAAAAGGGTGATTTAAAATGGATAGCCTTCTCTGAATCATAACACAAAGTTTGTGAAAATTTACTATGAATACCTCAGTATTTCTCATTCTTCTTAGAACAGATTTTATTCCTTTATATACACAACAATTGCTTCATTAGTAAGTAGCTTTTATTGTAGCAACATATCACTTTTAATTGACAGTCTAGAGACCAAACTCCACAGTAGTAAAAAAAGAAGTTTTAGTCCAGTAGCACCTTTAAGACCAACAAAGTGTTATTGTGGGTATGCTTGGGGACTGCATACCTAGTTAGCATGCCAGAGTCTTGTTCATAGTGGGAAAGGTTGTTGGGGGGGAGAGTTTGGTAGTAAGGGATTTTTAGCAGTGTGAGAAATTTTGCATGCAGCAAGAGAGATCTACATCTGCAGCTTTCTCCAACACCCCCCCAAGTCTTCCTTCCTTTTTACTCAGTGCCCCAAGCTCTAGAACAAATGCTTGACAACTGAACTAATAAGAAGATGGTAAGTGGTTTAAATCAATGATGTGTGTTGTCACTTACCCTTCTATCAATTCACAAAGCAATTTGTCCTTTGGAGCTTTGGAAATGGTCAAAGGAAGTGGCAGCAGTAAAATGTCAGTGCACATCCTGAGTCACTGCTTCTTTGGACAGGAACAGGACAAGACTAAGCTTCTTCTACAATATCTCTAATAGCAGCACTTTTAATATAAATCATGTAGAAGAGTTTTCATGAGGGAAGTCAAACTGTGATATGTGTTCTGGCATTTATTAGAATGTTTTCTATTCTAATGAAATAAAAGAAACAAAGGTTTAAGTACAACACATATGCTTAGCTGTCCTGTATAAATATTGTTAAAATTATTTAAAGATGTGAACATCCTATTCAGGGGGCTCACATTTCACTCTCTCTTCTGTCACACCTTTTACAGCAAGTCTCTTCAGACCTGAGAAATGGAGTGGGAACAATGACAGCTGTGACTCTTGTCAGTCCTTACCTTCCTTCCCCAAGTAGCCCTCAGCCCTTCTGCCAGACACAGTTGCTACCATCTTTCTTCCTCAGCCAGGGCAGAATTGGCCAGGTGAAAGACTTGCAAGGCAATGATGAAGGTGATCAAATCCTTAGGCGGTCATATAATTTGCTATCCTGATATTAGTTTCAGACAGCCGGCCCTCTGCAGGGTGGATGGTGTGCACTTATTGGAGTGAGGCATGGATCTGTGGTATATGGGATGGGTTCCCTTGTTGGCTACATGTGTAGGAGTGTTGGAGAGAGTGAGCAGGGTGATCACTCCCCTCCCTGGCTCTTGTGGCAGTTCAGGCATTGGGACAAATGTGTGCCCACATCCCATTTTATGGGACCTTAAGTGGTCTTGGGGTGGAGCCAATTCAGCAGCATGCCCAGATTGGTGGCTGTCAGCAGGGGCTCTTGCCCCAGGTGGCAAGGGATCCATGTAGTGGCCAGTGCCCATATGGTTCTCACAGTTTGGCCACTCCTTGGGTTCACCCCAGCATGCAGGCTGGGGTTTGGGTTTTATTGAGCAGTAGGCAGGTTGCTTGATACAGGATTCATCCCCATGCTGCACCAATGTTCCTTGCAATATAATCAATAAAAGCTGTGGCCTTTTCCATTCCAAACATAACCTGGTCTGCATGCCAGTTTCTCACCTGCAAATCCCTCTATGCCCTGGACCCACAAGTAGTTTCACACGGTGTAAGACACAACAGAGAATGAACGTGTACCAGCAGTTGCTAGTCTTGACCATCTGGAGACCAGCACCCTCAGAAGGCTTCACTCAAGATGAGGAAAGTTGCCATGGCACAGCAGGAGGGGCAGTCTTGCAGGTACATGGGTCAAGGCCATTAAGGGCCTTGTAGATGATACCTAATACCTTGAACCAAACCTGGTAATTGATCAGAAACCAATGGAGTGACCTAGCTCTGGAAAGTAACTGAGCTGTGGTGTTGTCTACCAACTCACCTTTTTGAGTTTACTTTAACGACAGACCCATTTAGAGTGCATTTTAAAAGTCCAACGCTTCCCCACCCCCAGGTCCCAAGAAAAAAATAAGGAAAAAAGCAGCTTTATGTACTTACCGGAAGTTGATATAGGAAGTAACATAGAGTTTCCAGCAGTTCCTAGAGCTACTCTTTGTCACATCCTGTATCACCATCTGGTAAATAAACGAGGATGTATTTTTAAAAAATATCCTGCAATGCTGTAGCCTCCTCAGAACTCTCCCGTTGGTTGCCAGTCACCATCAGGCAACCCTACAATAGTCCAACTTCAAGCTAGGGTGTCATGGAACCACATGGCCAGATCCTAGACTCATAGATTGAAAAGTTGGAAGACCATCCAGTACAACCCTAAGCATCCCTGACAAATAATCGTCCAATCCCTGCATAAACACCTCCAAGGAGGGAGAACCCACAAGATCCTTGGGCAAACGATTTCACCACTGAACTGCCCTTATTGTTAAAAAGTATTTCCTAATATCACACCAATATCTCCCTACCCATAACTTAAACCCATTATAATGAGTCCTATCCTCTACTACCAAGTGAAATAGTGCCCTACCCTTCTCTAAATGACAGCCCTTCAAATACTCAAAAAGTGTAATAATTTCTTCCTCAACCTCCTCTTCTCCAGACTGAACCCCAATTCCCACAGCCTTTCTTCAAAGGCTTAGTCTCCAGACTCCTAAATCATCCTTGCCACTCTCCCCTGCATCACCCACCTGCTCTGAAGTTTCTATGTCCTTCATATAAAAAGGCCTCCAGAACAGAACACAGTACTCCAAATGGGGTCTGACCATTCTGCTTAAATAAAAAGAGTGTATGTATCATGTAACTTTGGTATAATCTGCAGGAGGTTTTAACAAGTAGAATATATACCAACCTCCCTGTTTTCTTCTTTCTTCTTCTTCCACAACTTTAAAGCTTACAAATATGGGAATGAGTCACTTATCAAAGAGGAAATAATAATAATAATAATAATAATAATAAAAATAATAATAATAATAATAATAGATTGGATTTATACCCCTTCAAACCCAGTTCTCCAAATTAGAGTCTGCCGCTCTTACCTACTACCCAAAAATGGTTCCAAAGAGGAGATGTGGTGCTATCATATCTCATGTCCTAGACACTATGCATCTGTTGATACACCCTAAGATCAAATTTGCCTTCTTTGCTGCCACATCACACTTGCTACTCATACTCAATTTGCAGTAATCAGAACCCCAAGATCCTGTTCACACACTCTGCTAACCAGAAGAGATTATCTCCCATCCAGTATGTGTACATAACATTTTTACTACCTAGATGCAAAACCTTACATTTCTGTCTGTTAAATCTCATCTTGTTCACATATGCCCATTTCTCCAACCTATCCAAGTCTGATTATATTTTATCTCTATCTTACAAAGTGTTTGATATCCCACCTATTTGGGGGTTATCTGCAAATTTAATGAGTAGACCCTTCTAAAGATATAACATTTCTGGAAATTATGAAGCCACTTGGAAAAAAATCCCTATTTTTTCGGGGGGGGGGTTGGAAATTTGATAGAAAATGAAATATATGCAATATTTACTGCCCTATTCAAACCTAAACAAATTTTACTGATATAACATACAATCATCATTAATAACTTAGCACATAAAATTGCAATATTTGACATTTTTATGGAATTTAAAAGTTATGCCTTGGTTTTGTACAAGCAAAACTGAATATGTACTCAATACTTGAGCAAAAACTGCAAACTGATGCATTCTAGGCTATCTTAGGACATGTACCTGGTTAGAGAGAGAGCTAACTTCTCAATGAAACTTTCAGTTTTCCACTGAGGCTTTGATACAGTTTCTGTCCCACCTCCTTCTCATTGTTTTGCTCCCTCTTGCAAGGTAGGACAATATTAGGTATTCTCCTAGATGTAGAAATGTATCTTGAATTTAAGAGTTGTATATGTTTACAGCATGCATTTCACTCATTCTAAAGGAGAAAAATTTCATGGGAGGGTGTTTTTTCCAGTACTCTCCAAAATTCTGTTGAAAAAACTGAAAAAGGCCTTGGAAAAACGTTTTTGACAGAATGTTTCTGTTTTTTTCTGGGCCTTCATATCTCTGTTCCATCCAAAACCTTATTTAGACCATTTATATATAAAAAAAATTAAAAACACTGATCTCAAAACTGAGATCTGATGCTACCCTCCAGTCAGATAAGGAGCCATCAACTACCACTCTTCGGGTGCAATTATCCAACTAATTCTTCATTCACCTAACAATAATCCTAAAATCTAATCCACAGCCCTTAAATTGCCAATTAAAACATCATGGGGAACACTGTCAAATGAGTTACTAAAATCCAAATATACAATATCCACAGCATCTCCATGATCTACCAAACCTGTCACCTGATCAAAAAAAGGAAATGAGATTAGTTTGACAGGACCTATTAGATCAGTAGGGTCAGGTTATGCCAAACCCTCCCAGAGGTGATTTCTAAAGCCTTATAGTTGCCTCAGAGGGCTTTTCTGGATTAAACTTGATGAGCTGTTAGTTCTAATTAGCTGCTTGTTCTGATGACATTATTATGATATGTTGGTTTTGTTAGTTACGGGGTTTGTACTTCAGGGACTGATTTGACTACTGATTGTTGCTGACTGTATTGATTGAGAAAATATTTTTATTATTGCTATCTGTTTTGAACCTGGTAAATTTGTTGGATATACATTTTTAATAAAATTAATAAATACATTTGAATGTATAAAAATATAGGATGAACTCTGCTACTACTTTTGTAATTCCATTTTCTGCATCGTTTAATATATCACATTGGTACTCTTTCCATGATTTCTAATTTTGGTAATCTGAGGCCCCGGTCACACAGCAAAGTTGCCGCGGGAGAGGCATGGATGGTGGGCGGATTATCCAGGCGCGATCACTCCCCAACATCTGGGAAGTGGAGCGCAACATGGCTTACCGCCGACAATGCACATTAAAAAAACTAGTACCTCCAAGGTACTAGTAAACATTTGCCACAGGCTGCCTCCATACGGCTGTGGTGTGATCGCGACAGCGTGCGGCATTCCCCTCCGGTCCCTCGTTTACCTGCCGGAACCAAGGGAAGGACCCATGGTGTGCCGCCGGCACGTCTGATCGCATAATCGCGGATCAAACTGTGCTGGGGCAATTAGCCATGCCTCCCCCCTGCGATATCCGGCCCGTGTGGCCGGGGCCTGAGTCTTCTTGCATTTGTTATAAGATTTCTCCTGTTATTTAACTGCATTGTCTTACATTTTATGATCTGCTTTGAGTAGCAGTGAGAAATAAATAAATATTTTAATAGAAATAAGGTGTCTGTGTGAGTGTAGGATAAGGTTCAAGACAATAACTATAAATGAATATTGAAATTCGTGTAATATCCATGTATTTAATATATATTTCAAAGAAAAATCCGTAGTAGTGCAATAAAGTAAATTAAAATCAGAAAAGGATACAAATCCACATACAACGAAAGACATACAGCTGCAGTCCAAAGTAACATGTACATGTGAGAGAAGACTGTACATAGGTAGAGCAGTATTTATTGTTTGTCAGAATGCTGATAGGAAGCAGTTTCTAACCCCTCTTTGGTGGGAGTTGGTACAAAAAGTAAGGAAAGTGCCAATTGTGTGTGCTGTTCTCACAAATATTACACCTCATAGCTTAGATCCATTAGCTTCAATTACAAGAAATGCAGGCCAGAATGGCGTATAACTATTTATTTCCCCCCGGCTATATGAGGAATATTTGTACACTTTGAATGAGAATCAGTTTTTACAGTAAGAGGTATAAGCATTAAACATTATTCCTTTGAAATGTCAGGATTCCCATTAAAAATACCAAGGTACATGATTTGGGGATATAAATGGAGCACAAGAGAGTATCACAAACTATATCACAAAGTTTTCAGTAGCTACATAAATCCAGGTATGTGTTGTCATATATTTTGTTTAAAAGAACAGCTGAAACATATGGAGCAAAAGTTTAGTAGAGCTAAAATTAGTCCTCCAAAAGAAGAAATAAAGACATCCATTACTTTCCATTGCTAAGAAAATGCAATCAATTTAGCTTTCTTTAACTTATGGCTGAAGCCCTAAGAATATTTTTATGGGAGCCAGCCCCACTGAATAAAATGGGGCTTACTACTGAGTAGACAATCTGTTTAGGATTCCTCTACATATTTTCTCTTTATATTAAAAAACAAGGCAATGGTTGCTTTCAGAAAATTTTAGCATTTGTCTGCTGCTTCCACTATCTCATACAAAATGACTCCATCTATCATTTTAGCTCAAAAACGCCTTTTTAAAATGGTGCATATTATATGTATTGAATGGGAACTGTATTTGAAAAGATGGATTTTATGGGGGGCATTTTGGGGCTAAAATAGACTGCAAATATAGACATATGACAGTAAGAAAGATTCAGACAGAAGGTAGACTGCTTGTCAAAAAACTGACAAGCTTTACATTTTATAGAAATAAGTATCTTTTTGAATTTGTGAAAACATACTGTCATCATCAAGTCAGGTGAATCTGCATGGAAAAATTATTTAAACAGAATATGACATTTTATAAATACTGGCTTGCTATTTATGTCTGATTCTCAGGAGGTTTAAGTGACGTATGAATGAGTGCAAACCTTGACAAGTCTTCCACTGATATATGTAACTAAAACAAAAATTCTTGTTGCCATTTCATGCACTAAATTGTCAGGAAAATGTAGAGAAGCATGTCTCTGCCTTCTCCTACCAATTCCTAAATCAAATGGAGGAGTTGTTCTACTTCAGCTTTTTTGATAGTTGTTCACAGGGCTCTAGTCGGGGGGGAGCGCTCCGGAGCGCCGCTCCGGAAGAGAACCTCTAGGGGGCGGGGCGGTCACGTGGTGAAGCCCCGCCCCCTACTTAACCCCGCCCTCTGCTTCGATCCTCATTCCGTGTGAGAACGAGGACGAAGCAGGAGGGTAAGTAGCGGGGCCTTCCCTTCCCCGGGGCCTTCACTTCCCTCCCCCATCCCCCCCACCCCGTCCATCCTTCTCTCTCCCGGCTGCGTGTAGCGGCCGGAAAAGAGAGGCCCGGGCCCTTCCCTTCCCAGCGGAGTGCGAATGCGCTCCGCTGGGGAGAATTCTCCCCCCACCCCGTCCATCCCTCTCTCTCCTGGCCGCGTGTAGCGGCCGGGAAGAGAGGCCCGGACCCTTCCCATCCCCCCCACCCCATCCATCCCTCTCCCGGCAGCGAGGAAGAGGCCGCCAACCTCCACG